AGGGGCCCTCTCCCCGTTTCGTGTACAGCACCCCGGCGTGCTGCTCGTTAGCCCGCTCACAAATAACCAGCGTGGGCTGTGCATTTCCCAGTGGCTGCTGGTGAACAGCGGGGTCTCATGGGACCCCAAATTCTGCCCTGGCTGCTCCCCTGGGATGGGAGAAGGGGCGAGGGGCTGGAGGGAGAAGGGAGCAGCTGGGTAGGGAAGGGAAGGGAGGCTTTAGCTATAGCTCTTGCTTGTCCCCCTGGGGAAAAGCATCTGATTAAATCAAGATGCAACATCCAGGGTTGCTATTCATTCCCTATATTATTAGCTTGTCTCATTTTATTAAATCTCCTTTAAGGCTTTTCAAAAGAAGCACGTAATTCACAACATATAATTTTTCCCAGATGAGATATGATGCAGAAGTGGGCTGCTCTGTCACTGGGGACCACGGGGGGTGGGTTTATTTGTTTCCTTCCCCCACCTCCTACTTCTACAGCAACACTTTTAATGTCTCTTGATTCCTTTTAGCATTTGGGATTTGATTAACAGAGAATTTGAAAGCCTGAGACATGTCTCAAATCCCCAATTCTTTGAGTCATCCAGGCAAGGGGCGGTGAGAGCTCCCTTGGAGATGCCATCCCCGTGCCTGGCGCGATGGAGCTCCCGGAGCAGGCTCGTGCCGTGCTGTGGTCTCCAGACTTTCTGCATCTTTTCCCCTTCTCCCACCCCTGGTGTGTGCTTGCTGTGATAAACTCCCCAAAACCCCGCAGCTGGGGCTGAACACCCGTGTCGTGGCACAAAGCTGGGGAGGTCGCGAGCTCCGGCAGATCGCTCGGTGCCGCTGCTTTCCTTGCCAGCAGCACAAACGTGTCAGAGGGCCGAGCGCATGGTGGGAGCTGAGGTTTCGATAGCACCCCACCGTGGGGGACTCAGCTTTGCCATCCGGCCACCCCAGGGGATGGTGGCCCACTCTCCTGTCACGGCAGCATCTCCCTTCCGAGTGCACCGAGGTGACAGTTATCTCATTGTTGATAACTCTGCGGCACAGCTCAAGAGTCAAGAGCTCCAGGCGGAGCAAAACTGGGGTTCCCCGAGCCAGGGCCACCCTGGGAATCCTCTGCCCACAGTTTCCATCCCATCTCATGTCATCCTCTCGCCTATGGTTTGCTCGGAGGAAGCAGCATCTCACCAGGATCTGGTATAGACAAAGGTGTTTGCGTGTCCCGGACATGTCCCCAAACTCCGGCACCTTCTGCTCCTGTCCAAAGAGCGGCAGCCTCCCTGAGATTAGAGGGAAATGTCACCCGTAACCGGAGATGGGCAGCGACTGGGCTTGGAATATAGGGCACAGGAGAGGGGGAGGCTCGGTGACCCCGGCGAATGCGTTGCTACCGATTTCAGGCGGGTTCCTATGGAAATAACGATGGCTGCTGGGGTTATAGGACAAAAATAAAAGTCCAAGAGGAGGCAGGGAGCCGGCGATGGGCTGGAGCTGGCAGAGGGATGGGCAGCTGGTGCTGAGGGCTTGGAGCCTGGAGGTGTTTCATGTCTAGGTCCTGCATCTTCCCCCGCTGCTTTGGCTGTGGGGTCCGGAGGGGGCTGAGGCCACTGCAGGGTTTGAGGCAGTGAGTGGAGGCAACGGGATTGCGGGGGGGTTGACCTGGGTGAGGACTGAGCCCCACTTGGTGCTGGTTCCCAAACTGAGGACTCTCAAGGCTTCCGCTAAAGCTCAGCCCTGGGGCAGCAGCAAAGCAGAACTGCAGGCAGAGCCGGGCCCCGCCAGCTCCTTCCCTGGGGGGCTCTGGCCGCTCTGCCTCCCTCCTGCGACCCTGGTTCAGAAAGGAGCTGCGCTCTGTAAACAGTTCCCCTCTGAAGAAAAGGCAACATGGAAAAAGCAGCACATTCCTGGGATTTTTTTTAGAAATGAGATCCAAGGAGGATGCAGCGAAGCATGGCCAGCTCACCGGGCTGTCCCTGGGCGGCTTTTTAGTGTGCAAATTAAAGAAAACAGCCTCGGAACTTGTCCTCCGGCACATGGCGGGAGCTCTGTGCGTAAATGCCCCCGGGGTGGGGAGCAGAGGTGGGTTGGGGTGGGCTGGAAGGCCTCTCCGTGCTGTCCCTGGCAGGGGTGGTGCAAAGGGCTGGGGGAACAGTGGGCACGGGGTGCTGCTGCTCTCCTAGGGCTGGGGATCATTTTGAAGCATCCATTGGGCACCCACGAGATGGGGGGGTGCTGCCTGCATCCGCACACCCCGGAGCAGGAGGCTGCCAGCGGTGCCCACGGGCTCAGCCCTGGCTCTGCCGAGGTGGGATGGAACCTAGTCCTGCCCCAGGCATTAGTTTGGGGTCCAACACTTGTGGTTTCCCACCTGGAAATACTTTCCCACCAGGGTGTTCTTCCCATCGCATTTCTTTGTGACCGTTAAAAGCCCAGACTGCTTTCCCTATGCAGCAGGGATAGAGACTGATTTATTCCCCTGTGAAGATAAGTCCTGTCGTGTCCCACATCTGTCTTCTCCAGATTAAGGGGTCCCAGATAAAGCAGTCAGTGCTCAAACTGCCCCTGAAAGACCATATACTGCCCGCGCTCAGAGCTCATCTTTGCTTTTCCATCAAATCCCAATCGCTGGCAGACAAGCCTTTCTCCCCTGCTGATCAAAAAACCATGTGGAGGTTCAACCTCGCCATCGGGAAGGGTGCGGGAGCCACCGCCAAAGCCCTGAGCCCCCCGTTTCCCTCCCTACTCCCAAATAACAGAAGCGTAGAGTCAGCAAGCCAGGCCTGGCAGGAACCCGACAGGAATCGTGACTTCTCCATCTCTTTTGCCGAATCAGCGCCCGCTGCCTTGGTTGCACCAGGTGTTTACTCTCCGTTCCTGGCTAACTGTGTTTGTTTGCCACGTCAGGGCCGGTGGCCATCCCTCCCCTGAGTGAAGGCGGTGCAGATTCGCTGGGCAAAAACAAACACAGGTGCAGGGTTACGGGTGGTCACAACGGAGGGCAGGGGACACCCTTGGGGACACGTCCCCCCCCGTTCTGGATGTCCCCGCCATCAGGTTGCCTTCAGGGAAAGGACCTCAGGATACGACCTCCGTCTCCCTGGATGGAGCATCCCGCGAGCGTGGAGCCGGTCCCGGCATCGCGTGCCCATCGCTGGGGCTGTTTGGGTTTGGATGGGTGATCCCCTCCACCCCTAAAAAAAAAAAAAAAAAAAATCACATGCAGTTTCAGGGAGGAGAGACACGTGCCGGGGAGCCACGCAAGAGGCAATGTGGGGAAAACCTGGGTGGAGTGTGAGGGTGGGCATAGCCGGGGGCAGGACTGGATGACCCATAGTAGCGTGGTGCAATGGACTCGGTGACCTGTCTGTCCCTGCCAAGCAGGAGTTGAGATTTAAACAGTTTCCCCCTTTCCCAGTGTTTGCTCCGGAGAAATATCCCCAAACATCAAGGGAGGCGTTATCTGCGGCATCGGCACACAGCCTCGTGTGTGGCGTTTCCCAAGGCTGCAAACAACCCCGCTCCCCGCCAAGCTCGGATGGGCCCAGCACGCCCCACGCTGCATTTTGAAACCATGATGTTCTGAAAGCAGACCCATGACCACATTTCCAGGGACCCCGCTTAGTGCTCGATGCCTCCCCAAGAGCCGGAGGGATGTGCCCACCAGTGCCGGGGCTGCAACCGGCTGGTCCCGGGGGTCTGACGGTGCATTGTCTCTCCTTTGGAAGCAGCAAGAGTCTCACGTCCTGACCCGGAGACCACAAGGTCCATCAAGGCAGGATACGGCCCAGCCACAGCCAGGCGCTGGTCCTGGGGATGGGAAAGGGGGGGAAGTATCTCCGACACCCCCAGCGCTTCGTGCTCAGCCTGAAGGTTTCATTCCCACCCTTTGTGCTCCCAAATTCTTAGAAATATTAGGTAATTGGAGAGGAATCAGTTTTCTTCCTTAAAACCAGGGAGAGTCCCTTAATCCCTTGCTGTTAAGTGCTACAAAAGAATATAAATAATGGTCTGTGTTTTCCTCCCCGCAGCACCGGCGAGCAGCACAGCACTGCCAGGAATGGCCCTGGCCAGGGCCAACCCCCCCACCCCAGGGGGAGAAAGGTAGGCTTAGCCGCCACGAGATGGGCTTAAACATCACCTTCCAGCTCAGTTTTGCTTTAGGGAACAGAGCAGACGCCTCTGAAACGTCAAACTCCAGCTTTACAGCAGCCAGAACCAGTTCTGTGAACGTAGCGACAGTTTAATCCGCACTGGCTGCTGCGGGAAGAGCTCCTAAAAACGGGGGTAGATCTGGCACAGCCCCAGAAAAACCTTCAGGCAGTGCAAAGCCGACACAGAGCGGGGCTGGGAAGTGGGAATTGTCGGGTTTGAAATGGTGGATCAAGGGGGAAGGAGTCTGTGAAGCTGATCCCAGTGCAGCACCAAACCCCGGCGCTTCTGGGATGCTGTGGGCACGGGAGGGGAAGCAGCTCCGTCCCTGGGGTTTATGGTGACAGACACTCATCTCGGGGGGGCTGATCCTGGCTGGATGGGAATGGTACAACTGGGGTCCCCCCGGCCTCCCAGTGGGGACAGGGAAAGGCGTACATCGTCCCCAGACTGGGAATGAGACAGCACGAATATAGCCCTCGCTGCGTTCTCGTTAAGAGTAATCCTTCCCCAACAAGCATGTGTCTGTTCGGTAAATACTGATTTCACCTATCAACAAATCTGAATTTATTTACATCAGAGACTTTGAGCCAGGACTGGTAACTCTGACATAAATTGTCTGAATAATGCAACGTATCCTCTCCTTGCTGGTTGCTATGGGTACTGGGCTGTTTTAGCCTCCATCTATAAACATTAACTGTGAAGGGGATGTGGAAACTTATCTAAAAATAAAATACTATGCCCAAGTCTTTAAGAGGAAGGTCGTTGAGATGGTGATTAAAAAAACCACCCTCGTAGGGGTTCTGAAGCGGTGAAACACAAACAGGGCATCCTTGAGCCCGGCTGAAGGAAACGGAGGCTGGACTGAAAAGAAACCAACATTTTTAATTCCTGCTGAGCAATGCCCGAAAGGTGAATTACAACATGCAGAAGCAAAGGAAATCGGACTTTGCAGAGGGTGACACTGAGAAAAGGGAGGACCCTCTGCAGGGGGGGACAACAAGACGCCGAGACGTGGCACCGCATCTCCCTTCTCCAACACCACCACCGGCAGCTTTACGCTGCACTTTTTTTTTTTTTTTTTTTTTTTTTTTTTGTCATTTACAGCTTTTTCCAACTGTTCTGGGAATCTGTAAACACTGAGCCTGAGACTGGAGCATCCCCCTTGGGATCTTCCCGTTCAGGGCAGGATCCAGCACCGGGCTCTTTGGGACTCGCCGAGGCTGGTGGCAGGGGCAGAAGGGCAGATCCGTACCCGGCTGCTGCAGAGCTCAGAAGGCAGAAGCAGCCCTTTCCCTCCCACCCACTGCCCCTGCAAGGCAGTGAAAAATAGCTGGAAGGCACTGGGCGGTGGGGAAGGCAGACAGGACCCTCATGTAGGCCCTGGGGAAAAGAAGGGGCTGGGTGGGTGTGGAGGGGGCCGGGGCACCCACATGGCCAAGGAGGGGATAGCTACAGGGCACGGATGGGGATTGACTCTGCCCTTTGGCCCTCTCCAAGCTGGGGTTTCCCCACGGGACCTCTGCCATCCTTCCAGCCCCCCACCCCGGGGCAGCGGTTTAGGTCGTCCGTTCACGTCTACGTGCTTTTCAGTCACCCCTTCTCGGAGGCTTTGCGAATAGCGCGGCGATGCTACAGGGCTCTGCACCGGTGGGAAACCGCAGCTCTGGACAGGGAGGTTTCCCTCTCCCGAAAAAGAGGCGGGGGGGGGTTGTTGTTGGGTTTGCAGCAGGTTTTGTTGTTGAGTTGGCAGCAGTTTCCCCTCTTCCTTCCCCAGCCGTGTTTGAACACCTTAGGGGCTCCTGAGCCCTCTCTGTTGCTTCGCCTGAGCTTTTATTTGCTTCCCACAGCTCTTTGGCAGCATCTTCCGATGATCTTCAGGATCAGCCAGAGCCAGAGCTTCCTCATGCTCAGAGCTCGCTTATGAAAGGACCCTGGTGTCTCCGTCATTACTTGGCTTGCCCTCCAGTCCGGGGCTGGAGCTGGGTTGCTTTTTTCCCCCTTCAGATCTTCAATAATTGGTGAGGGAGAAGAGGTGAGGAGCTCCTGTGCCATGTGGCTCCCGGGAGAGCATCACCTTCGTGGCAGGAGGTGCAGGGACCCAGCAATGGGGACAAGGATCCGGGGGGCAGGGACCTCCAGCTCCCAGGGGCTGCAGCGAGGAGGTGCCACCACGCTCGGGCTGTTCCTCTGATCACTTCGATACTGCTGGGTGCTCAGTTGGCTCATTAAGGGTTGCTGGGCTAATTAGTAGGATACATCTCAGTAGGAAAACAGGCAAATTGGACAGCGTGGGGACCAGAGACACGCTGTGCCAAGGAATCCGAGACACTGCTTTGCAAAAGGCAAAGAGACAAGAGTCTGTTAGGGACCTCACCAGTGCTACCAGCGTCTTTGCTGGGGCAGAGCTACGGGGCTGCCAAAACCTCAGCAGAGCCGTGTGCTTGTCCAGCCTCTCCAGCCACCAACGGGCAGAACCACCGGGGCTTTCCAGGGAAAGGAGCCTGGGCAGAAGCTTGTGCTTTTTTAGAAGCCTTTGGCTCCAAAAGTGAGCCTGTGCTGAATTTCTGGGGTGAGCTGGTGCATGCCCCCTCGCACCATCCCTGCCGCTCGCCGGAGCATCTGCCATGGCCCATAGGTGCTTTTTTTCTGCCTAATTTAGACTAAGCCTGGAGCCTTGAAGCTCCCCAGCAATTTTCCCTCGCGCTGACTCTCAAGTATATAATCAAAACAATTTGGGGGTTGCTGGTCGGGTGCCAAGAGGCGGACACAACCGCCGCTGTGCAAAGCCTTCCCGCCTGGGTTTTTGCAGAGCTTTGAAGCTCAAATCCCTCGAGAAGTGCAGGAAGGGCTCTGGAGGAGCTGGAGAAGGCAGGGCTGGGCTGGGGCGTGCTGCTCTCACCCCCACCTAACGTGCTCGTGGAGCCCGGCAGAGCAGCCCCTCTTGCTGAAGTGCCAATCTGCAAACATACCTGTTGTTACTTGTTCTTCACTCCCTTCTGTTTCTGCCGATATATTTCTTCTGTGAAAGGCCTGTGGTTGGGAGGATGGGAATTTGGGGAGAGAGGGGGCAGAGACACGAGAGAAGGGCAAAAAAAGGGAGAAAGAATTAAAATCAAGACAGCTGTGTGCTCTCCTTTGGGCTCAGAAACTGCCTTTCGTGGGTTGGCACAGCCCAACTATTCTTGTGCCACAACAATCCTCGGCTCAGTCTCTCTGGACCGTGGAGTAGCTCTAAGCTGCTCCCACCCAGGAGCATCCCTGCACTGAGCAGGACGAGGCTCAGCACACGCTCAGGCTCCCCCCACGTGCAGACCAGCCTCGGCTCTCTTTGCATCTCCTCCTCCCTCACAAACACAAAAGACCTTTTGCTGTTGAAGCGCAACTGCTGCTTCTGGGAATAATTCTGGGCTGCTCTGCCCTGCGCTGCTGGGCTACTGTGGTGCAAAATATCAGAGAAGCCCATCCAAGGAACTGCAGAATGCGAGCTCTTCTTGTAGGGTCTCTTCAGACAACGCAGTGAGTCCTCTCACTGCCTTCCTTATTGTTCTTGTACAGACAGAATCAGGCACCCGAAAGAAAAAAAGATCTCATTTTGATAAAAATAAACAAACGCATAAATGTTCCTAGAACTCAGCAAATAGTTTCAGAGAGGAAGCTGCCCATTATCAAAACAATTGAAAAACAATCCTCTGTTTTCCTTCTTCCCCACTGAATTAATTGGAAAAAACCCCATCTCTCCTTTTGCAGTTCCCTGAAACCTTGGGAGTTAAAGCTGGTAGAAATAATTAGAAGCTCTCCAGTTTTGCAAAGCTACTCACCCCTCATACAGCACTGCAATTGTGTAGGAAATTGCCACTACAGCTGTCAGCAAAAGGCCAGCTGGGCTTGCGTGCCTGTTTTGAAAGAGAAGGAAAAAATCAGGTAAGTACATGGGCTTATGCAAGACCTGGTTTAGAAAGTGAAATGAGACGCTGGGCTCCATGAGAGCACTCTCTTGCTCATTAAACAGAAGCGAACAAAAGGGTGGGGTTTTGTTTTTTTTTTTTTGTACTTAATGTTAACTGTCTTAGACAGATGTTACTTGGCAAAGACGCTTCCCCAGCCTACTTCGGCAACTTCTTTTAAGTCTGATCCCTGCACATCTCCGCTAAGAGAGCTTCTGCTTTGATGCTAAGTCCTGAGATTATAAGGCTGTTTAATAGCTGAGCAGCTGCTTACGTATGGCTGTGGCTCCGAGCCAGCGCGCTATAAGGGAAATGCCTGATGTGCACAGAGATGGGCCACCCAGGGTGCAGGAGACACCTGGCAGATGGAGCAGCGTATGGTACCGTATACATCAAAACGGCGGCTGAGCCGTCGCAGGGCTGGGGATGGGAAGGGATGGAAAGGTCCGTGCCTGCCCTGCAAAGGGTGCGTGGGGGGGCTCAGTTCACATTTAAACCCATTTCAGGATTTTTTTTTAGGAACACGTCCTGTCACCTCCCCAAGGCCCAGCTGAACGGTTGTCCTTCAGCAAGGGGTCACCAGGCGCAGCGGGGGGGACCGATGCCACCCACCGCACTGGCTGGTGATGGGCAGAGGCGCTCGAGGGCTGCGGATGCAACGGGGATGGCTGTTCCTTTTAGCGCCGAGGCCAAAGAATCGCCGCCAAAAAATCCCCACCACCTCCTGCTCTAGAGAGAGGTGTCAGTGTAGGCCGCAAACCTGCACTGCCCACGCGAAGACACTTCAACGCTTGGCCTGAAAGTGTCTGAGGCAGATGATGGCAAAGGCAGCGCAGGGATTGCTAAGGCCCCAGGATTTCAGCGAACAGGTTGCAGCCCCCCAAACCAGGTGCTGAAGACCACCCCAAGGCGTGCCAATTCCTCCAGGTGAGAGCGGCCACACCAGCAGCCATTCCCCACTCGTTACCCCAGCACCCACGAGGTCCTGGCCCCATCTCCCCAGTGAGGAGCGTGGCCGTGGCTGGCTCACCACAGACCCCCCAAAACACCCTTTCTGCACCCTGTGCCTTCAGCTAATGGCTGCGAGTGTTGCCCTTAAGTAGGCCACTGCTGATTGCCTTTAATTGTTGGCAGCAGCTCAGCTCTGAGGGGAGCCAGAGCTGGCGGTCAGAAAAAAAAAAAAAAGTACTTAGCTGGTCCTTGGTGAGGATAAACATCCCGCAAACCTTGTGCAAGGCAACTAGTCGGGAAAACATGCCTTCAGAGGAGACTGAGCTACCTAAACTGCTGTCAGGTACTGCCTGGCCACATCAGTTCTTCGAGAGATGCACACAAATCTTCACCTTTCCACTGCTTCCATTTTGCAATAAGTTTTTCCCTCATTAGGAAGCATGGGGCAACTTCTTCCTCTCCCAGCCCCCTCGCTATTACATGCTTAGTCATGTCTCCTCCTTGATTCCTATCTGAGAGAACAAATTTGCATGATTGTTTGTTGACAGCGAGACCTCTAATTGCATCATTTGGCTGCAGTGCCAGCTCTGATTTACACAGCCCGTTGCCATGAGTTAAAACACTTCCCTAACCAAAGATACACAAAGCTGTCCCCAAACAGCTAATGCTCTATTTGTCTTTCGGGAGAAACGAGGCTGCTCGATGCGGGCGATGAGAAGCACTTGGGTGAGTTGTTTCTCTCCATTTATGAGCTCGACCTATTTATTGGGCAACAGCTCGTGTTGTAGCAAGGTCGACAAAGAATCAACCACGAAGGTTTCGTGGTTCTGGTAGGACTTTTTTTTTGTGTGTGGGGGGAAGTCTGTCCATCCCCAACCCTTGCTGCAGCTCCCCATGGCTGTGGGTTGTCTGGAAGAGCAATGGTCGGGGCTCGCGTCTTTCCCCACTGGCCTCACTGGTCCTGGGTGTTGGATGTGGGACACCCGCTTTCCCCCTTCTTCCCGGAGCTCCTGTTTTTGTGGTGACTGGTGGAGATGCCTTCTCCAGTCTATCTGGCAGACACATTTTTGGCTGCAGAGCTGCCATTAGGCAAGCTGGGGAGAGCTGCAATAATCCACGAGGGAAAAAAGAGCGGCTCTCGCCCCACGCGATGCTTTTAAGGTTGGGCTGGAGTCGGAAGGCTGGCTGGCTGGTGTGCTGCCAGGCTCGCTTACGTTATGTGGTATATGCCCTTACAGATGAAAATGAATCAATCATTTGGGCTCTGATGCCATGATATGGCATGATACATCACTGAGGGAGGACAAATATGCTCTACATTTTAGGTCTGACCAGAACCAGGCAGCAAACACATTCCTCTGACATCCCTCCCACTGACATAGAGCTGGGATGTTACCTCTGGCTTCTGAGCGCAGACACATAACATCTTCTAAAAGCCCTGGCACCTCAGAAGAGACCTAGGACTCCCCAAAAAACTCTCAGCAACCTGAGCTGAGATCCCAGCGAAGAGAAACAGACAAAACCAGGGTGTGAAAGGTTGTGCAGAGCTTCCCCAGGGCAGGCGGGCGGTGTCCTGGTGCCACTTTGCACAGCTCCAGCAATTTGTTAACAGCAATTATTTGTCATGCCTCGCTGCCCTTTATGGTGGCAGCCTTTTAGCGAGAAAAAGGAGGCAATCAGACTGTTGTCTTGAGCTGCTTCTGCCCAGGATTGAAGTGGAAGACCAAGCAACGCGCACCCGGTGTGAGGTTGCTCTCTCATGGGAGCAAAGAAGGGATTTCTGCGAAAGAAAGGAGGGTTCAGCTGGTTTTGCAAAAGTTTTAGGAAACAGTTTGATGCTGACCTTTAAAACAAGTAAAAATCTCCTTGTAATTCCTCCTGGTCAAATTCCTCCTTCTGTGCTGTTGTGGGGGTGGTGGTTGTCTCCAGTTGTGGTGTGGGATGGGGGGGCTCATCCTGCCCCAGCTCTGCCCCGCTCCCCCAGCAATAGCCCCGCTGCCTTCGCACCGCGGCTGACCCCACCGCTGGCTCTCCTGCCCGGCACTGCCACAACCCCAGCAGCGAGCGAGCTCTGGCTCTTGGGCACCATTTCCCCAGGTTTAGACCCCATCCAGTGCCGTGGGTCTGCCAGGAAGGTAAATGGCTTTGTTCAGCGCAAACCAGAATTTCCAGTGTAGAACGAATGGCAGCAAGGCTCAGTGGAGACAGGAGAGAAACCATCAGCTTTACTTATTACCGGGGGCCAGAAAGCGCTGCGCATGTGGCTGAAAAGGTGACCAGAAAGGGGCAAAGCATTTCATTTCTTCCACCAAAGTAGAAGAGAGGTGATCACACTCAGGAGCACCAGTGCAAAACATCTAGTGATAAAGGCCCGCAGTGCTCTACGGGCTCCTGATGTAACACAGCCAGGGTTTTTTCTCCTAGGCAAATAAATAAAATCTGATATTAAATGAAAACCACATAAAACTTGTTACACAGAATAGAGTATATTGCTCATTTACTGCTAAATTACAGCCTATTCATTTCCTCCTAAGCAGGCTATTAAGCTGTGTTGTATCACATGAGGAGTGTTTCGGAAGTGTTATCACCATGCGGTGGGGGAAAGGGTGCGTTGGCTTGTTTTGCTTTCTTCCGAGGTAATTACAGGGTCACACTGATCCCCCGTATCAGTGCTCTGCCCCTGCCGAGTGACACCCGGCGTGAATTTGGCCCTGGCTGTTGATTTTTCCATGTGCAGAGCCTGCCAAGGTCCTCATTCAGCTGCAGCGCGTTTGCTGATGCTTCCTCTCCCCAGCACTTGGCCGTTACTTATTTTTTCTACAATTAATGCTGCGAGTCTTTTATGACAGCAGAAGATTTTGCACGCACAAAAATAGTCAGAAACTGAGAAGTCGGGGCTTGTTGCACTTTCCCTGCCATTTTTATTTTTTTTTTTTGCTGGCTGCCATCACCAAGAGTTTCTTTGGCCCCTGATGCCTCCTGGCACCTTATGTCCTGCCGAGCACAGACCCCACACTCGCCCTACGACCGGTGCTGTTTGCAGGGGCACGTACTCACATGAGGGACCAGCCCAGGTAGATGGCCGTGCTGCCCCAATACATGGGATTATCCAGGATGCTGAAGGGGAAGCTGGTCACTTTTGCCTCCATCAGGATGCCGAAGTAATCACCTACAGAGCAAACAGAGGGTTTCTGGTTAGGCTCCATGAAGCTGGGAGTCGTGGGGGGCTTTGGCACACCGATAGCCTCCCTGTGCCACGGGGCATCCCTGCCAGGGATGCAGAGCGAAGGTGAATGAGGGGCTTCACTGCTGATTTCCAGGCTGAGAAAACAGCAACAAACAGGTCGGCTGTTTACTCTGTGTCTATCAGCTTTTCCGGGAATGGCTCTTTGCCCATGAGGGAGGTTTGTGCATTGCAATGAGGCTACGGCAGCCACCTCCCTCATCAGGAGGCAGCTCTTGAGGTCCCAACTGGCTGATTCCGGCTTTCTCATTTGAAAACTGCCCGTCTGATGCCACTTGACAAGGAAGCAAGTGCATAGGCTCAAATCCATTTAATGGGGAAATAAGCCCCAGTGCACTGTAATGGCGTTTTGAGATGTTATAAGCACGACCGCCACCACCAAATGCCCTCATTCAGTGTCACCCTTATCTCATAGTTCAGAGAATTTCTCAGAATTTCAGAAAATAGCACCTCTGCCTACAAAACACTCAATTATCGGCATCATGATGATGATGATAATAGGTGATTGTCATCTGTAATGAGGAAAGCTTTCAGAACTGTCAGCATCCAACCAGCTTCCTATCTACCTCGGAGTAATCCTTCCACCCTACTGAAAGGAGCCTGGAAAAGAAATGACAAGCAAGATGTTGTATAGCTTGTGAGTGGCATTTTGGGGGGAAAAAGGGCCATCTCTGACTCCTATTGGTCTTACAAGCGAGACCACAAAACCCGGCAAGGATTTTGCTCCGGGTCCAGTGCACAAGATGCAACATCAGTCGGCGAGGAGCAATGCAGGTCCATTGCCCTGGGTCACGTTCCCAGCTTTGCTGGCAGCCTGTTCCCTGACCTTGGGTAAGTCTCCTCCATCCCTCCCGGTGCTATTGTGCACCGATCATAATATCAGCCTTTCTTATAGCACGGAGGGTGGTGAGGATTAATGTATGGTGAGAAAGTGCTCGGAAATCCAGATAAAAGGCATTACAGGAGTGCAAACTATTCAAGGTTATTATTATTACCTGGATCGTAGTGTAATTTCTTTGACCTCACATGGTGCAAAAACATTTATTTCTAAGGATAAACAGTGCCTGCCCAATTAGACAATGCTTTTGGGCTTTAACTACAGGCCACTAAGTGAGATAATTGCCTGGTATTCATACTATATGTTCTCACAGTTACTTGGCAATGCATCTCTGAGATTGTTCTGGTAGAAAGAACACATCACCCCCTGCCACAGCCCATTTCTGTGCTTTCTTATGTGTCAAAATGCTTCATTATACCCTGCCCGCCCTCGCCTTTGGGCTGAACACCTCGCTCCCCAAATGGTGCTGCCACCGGGGAGGTTTGCACAAAGCCCTGGGTTCATGGGGCTGGCAGGAGCTTATCGGAGCCTGGCACTGGTGGGGCTGTGGGACCTGCCGGGAAGGCTCCCTGCAAGCAGGAGCACACAGCAGCTGGGGGGAGCAGGCAGCTCCCCCAGGACACAAGCTTTTCCGATGCAAATCCTGCCTCCAAACCCACGCAGTTAAATGAACATGACCACCAGAGAGGACCTGCAGCATTTTTATATTCAGGCAGGTACTAAGGGAAATGACTGGCTTGCACAGCATCGGCCTGGGCATCTCCTGCGCCTCCATTAAACCCCCAAAACAGAAATCCGCTCCTTGTCGGGCTGAGGGACTTCAGCATCTCATTTGGGTTATTTTTTGCTGGAGGTCAGTGTAAGCATCTGGCTGCACAGCGTAGACACTTTGGATCGCAGCAGCAAAAAGCCATTTGACGCACTCTGCAGGGACCCCCCGTGGTCTCTGGAGCCTGACCTGGGCTGAAGCACCATCTCTGCTTCCCTCCGGGGAGCCGCCGGCTTTGCCATAGCCCAGTGACAGACTTCAGTCAAGTCTGATTTACCTGAAATCTTGGTCAGCGCTGGAAGGAACCGCGCTCAGGTGTGAGACAGATGGGCTCAGACAGGCTGAGCTGCCTCTCGGTGCCCTCAGCCTCCAGGAAACCAAGCCTTCGTTGCTACCTTTGTCGGGAAACCAGGCAAATGGTGAGGTGGATGGTGCCAAACTGATGCCCGAATCCCTGCAAGGGGACGGTGCAGGGACGGGGTGCTGGGGGGACTGCTCAGCAGGGGAGAAGGCTGCCGGTGCGAGGGGCCGCATCCAGCCACTACAAACAGAGGCTGGGATCGGGGCTGCTGCGCGGGAGATGCGGTGGCACGGAAAGGTTTGGTGCAGGAGGGTGACTCACGTGGCTCCCACTGCACCGTTTAGCCCACACTTAAGAGACAGAGTGCTCCATAGCTGCTCCAAAGCTTCAGCGTGCTGTTAAAGAGGAATCTAATGGGCAGCTCTGATGCAGCCTTTGTGCCCTGCCTGGTTCAGCCCTCATTGCTGTAGGAAAACCCAAAAAGGAAGGGTCAAATGCTGTTACAATAAATTTTTGAAGGGCTTGGGTGTCAGAGGTTCTCTTAAAACTTCTCTCAAGCTCAGGTATTGACCGCAAGAAGAAGCTGGGTGACTTGCCAAAGCAGGGCAGGCCTTTGCTACCTGCAGCCAGAAGTGCTGTCACTGCTGGGGACCCTGCTCCTCCCCCTGCACTGAAACCCTGCGTGCAGGAGGATGGTGGAAATACCAGTCCCAGGTGAGCCCTGAGCAGGAGAACATCTCACTCGAGATCTGAGACCTGCAGCCTCCTTGTCTTCCCCATGACTGGGTAAAAAAACCACGCTGAACAGAATTCTCCATCAAGAGTTGGCCAACTCGGACTCATGGGGGCTTGCATGGAGCTGAGAAGCTGCTATGGGTGCAAGGCAGATGCTCCAGCTGTGGCACAGAGATCCTGAGCCAGCCTGGCTGCACCAGCACATGGTGTTGGCATCTCCCCACCGTGACTCAGCTCTGCCCCGGTGCCTGTCATGCCCCGGCTAGCAGAGAGAGCTGGCCTCGCTCCCTGCTGCATCAGGCAAGGCTTGGAGCCGTGCAGCCTCAGCCCGGGGTGCTGGTGGCAGGGAGAGCCTCCGCTGGCAGAGAGGATGAAGCAGAAGTGCCCGATATGGGCCACTAACACCTGCCTCTTCCCTGCCCCGGGGGATACTGGAGCCACTGGCCGTGCAGAGCAGAGGGGGACAGGGCCACTCTCGCCGCTTACGCTGAGCCTGACTCACTTGTTTGCTTTTCCCCAGCGGTTCAAGCCCAGTGGATACTCCTGGTCGGATGAATCAGGCTTTACGTAAACAACCCCAGACCTGGCTGAACTTCAGGAGCATTCAAGCAGCTCTCGCTGGTGGGTACTCCTGCAGCCAGCCTCTCTGGACACATCTCCGCAGGCACAGCATTGCTCCTGGGGGCTGTGGGTGATTTTGGGGGATGCCAGTGCCCGGTAGCTGGGGAACAGGGACGTAACACAGGGCCACGAGCAGGGCTGCAGAGATGAAGGGTCAGAGTACACATTTAGGAGTGCTGAGCTCTATTTCTGGCAGTAGGATCTTGGCCAACTCAACACATTTCTTTGCAATTCCACTTGAAACCAGGAAGGCTTACTACCTCCCTCTTCTTCCTGGCGACGCTGCAGGAGCTAATTGAATTTGGTTTGTAAAGCACTTGCAAAAGCACAGCCCAAATGCAGTGTCAAAGCTGGGGCTGTGATTATTTCAGCCAGCGGGAGCTGCCCCTTTCCTTAGATATTTATTGTTCCTGTCTCTATTTTATTTTTTTGAATTCCACACATACTGGCATGTTTTTAAAGTCAGCAATGCTAATAGAATTACTCTCTAAATGTGAAAGCAAGCACAGTGGAAAATGCCTTCTGCCATAAAGCGGCAGATAAAAGAATCTGTCAACGAACATCAGGTTTATTGCAGAGGGAAAAGCAAACGAGATCTTGCTTCAGGTGCGTGTGTTGAGTGGGTGGAGGCTCAGAGCAAGGCTGGCGGACAGCTTGCACCCACTGTGCCAGTGCCGACTTGCTCGTGGGGTCTGTACCCTTTTCTGGAGGGCATTTGGACTGTCAGATGATCAGCTGCTTTCCAAAATTTCAGGCCTGACACTGAAGGTGATGGTATTTGCTGTATAAAACTACTGCACCATCTTCTCCGTGCAAGGTAACAGCATGGTTAGATCACGCTTTGGTATCATTAAGCCAAGAACCAATCTAACAGCCCTGAAGACAAGGATGAGGAAATTCTTACATGTCTCTGCCCTAGCAAAAGACCCCTGCTAGGATTAAATGCACTTTCTGGTTAAGCTGCTGAATTTTCAGTGCTTACCTAGAAATGTTCCGGTGAATCCCAGTGCTAAGAAGCTGGAGATGACAAACAAGGTCCCTACAGCCAAGATGGCCAAACCCAAGTAATAGGACCAGTGGCAGTCCAAGCCCTCCAGCTTTGGCTGGCTCTTCATGGCTTCCGTGAAGCTGTAAGAGAGACAACAAGGGCCGTTAAAAGCAGTGACTCGTTAGTAACATCACCCTCCTCTCTCTGGGAGATGCAGAGCTTTGGGAGAGGATGCTGCTGAGGATGACCCTTCACCGGGTCCCTTTTTCCATTCAACCTCCCAACAGAAGAAGCAAGGAGCTGAAGCCTTGTGACCAGCCAGGGCTTGACCTGGGGCAGATATTACTACTTTCAACCCTTGCTCACTCCTAGAAATACCAACCCCGCTGAACTGCAGTATCAAAAGCTTTGCCTTGCTCACCAAACCCCAGGTTTCATCATGAGCGGGAGCTCTGGGAAAGACGCCCTTGCAAATGTTGGAGGCTGCAATGCCTCAGCAGAGGACTAGAAAAGGTTGGGAACAATCAGCTGGGTTATCTCATGCTCCCACCCCCGTTCCTCTCCATCAAAATATTTTGCAGCGTTCATGTGTCAGCCACGTGCCCAGGAGTGATTCACGGCTGAAGCCTGACTGTCAGGGGGAGGATTGGAACGGCAAAAGGAAAATACTAGAGAGACACATTTTCAAGTGTGAACAGAGCTTCTCAGCTCCAGGCTTGTTCAGGCATTTCAGGTCTGACCTTCCAAATACTCATTTGTGAGTGGAATAATTGTGACCCCTCCCTTCAGCCCCCCTGAACTTTGCCCGGAGCAGGGCTCGGCAGGCTCAGCATCTCACATAGCTCCGATACAAACGTATGACGACAAAGGAGACGACACTCTGATTAAAAAAATGCCCATTAATAATAGTGACAGGAGATAACAGACCCGCAGAGCTGAACACAGTGTTTCTCCACATGTTGCTGACACATGAGGTAGGAAACTTTGAGCATTTTTTTTTTTTAATGAGCACCCTGGAGGCTGAAATTCAAGTGGAATAACAGCTCTCCTGCGCCTCTGGCCACCGCTGCCTGCCAGGGCTGGACCAAGAGAGCTGCTCCTGCCCATGCTTCCAGGCTCCTCGGCTGGAAAGTGCTTCCATGACGTTACCTGCAGGGCTTGTGATAGTTTTTTTCCCTGAAGTCCAGCTTCCCCAAGCTCTACAAATCTCTGGGTTTTTCTCTGTTGTCCAAATGAAAGCTGAGAGAGACAGTCCTGCCTGCCTGGCTGATGGACAAGAGGCTGGAAACTCACCTTTCGAAGGCTCAAAGACCAGATAGCAAGTTACATGCACCAAGCAAAGTCCAGGATAATATTTAAACCCCACGGTTTAGGGACCTGGATGATATTTTGTGTTTTCCTTGAAGCTCATTCCTACTAGGTTTCCTACTGTCAGTGAGTTTTTAGGACCCCAGAGCAAGCCATTTAATCTTCACTTTGGACTGGAGCAAGGAAACAAAACATAGAATAAATGTAATGTGCTTGGGAGCGAGCAAGAACACAGCATCTTGGTGATTTACACTCCACCCCCACGCTAAAAATTACAAGGAAATTCCCTTTTCCAGGGAGAGGAATGACAGCACAGCCCCGGGCGATGTAACAGCACATATCCCCGGGGCTGGCCATCCTCCAGCACCCCGCACACCTCCCTGCGCTCACCAGGATCCCGTTGGTTTAGCTCAAAATCATTACTGATGGGAACACACAAATCTGCCTGCAACATGAAGTAGCAGTGGCTGTACAACCCTTTGTATCATTTCTCCAATATTTATTTTTAAATGACACGGTTCTCCCCTCTGAGGAAGCCCAAATCCGCATCCCTGCCTGCATTTGGGGGGGGGGGAAAGCAATCCCCCCTGTGAGGATACGCCTGTCTGCATGAGCAATCCTGGCCTGGCCCTGCTCTTAAATCACAATGTGACATCCCCAGGGATGATCTGGAGCTCTTTGCTCCCGCAGAGGAAGAGCTTGTCCCTGCCTGGATCCCAGCCCCCAGAAAAGAGATGAGAGAGCTGCGAGAGATACAGCTAGAGCCCAGCGCTCAGAGGCTGCTTCTCACTCTGGGTGAGCCGGATTCATGCTGTCTTACATCCTTGAGGCTCCTCTATCCGATGCTAGTGACCTGACTTGGCCTTGGAGCACGAGAAGAACCAAGGTAGCTTCAAGAATGTGAACTGGTTGACTGCGAATCAGCCTCAGAGGCTTTGCAACCAGCACGTGATGTGGTTTGCTTTGGCAAAGCTGTCTCCCTTGCTCCAGATGATCCCACTCTTCCTTTTCATGGTCGGATAGGCCTGCATTAGTTATCCTCATCAGCATGTCTTGCTCGGTCCCCTGCTGTTTGGCTTACAGCTAGAGAGGGAGGCGTTTGCACGGAGATAATGGACTGCCTTTCCCTCTAGTAATGTTTTATATCTTCCTAAACACACTCTCTATTTGCATTAAACATGATGCACACAGGAGTTTTCAGAATTGGTAAATAAACCTTTTAAGCATTTATGATGCTGGGCCACGACAAGCAGCACGGAGTCGTCAATTATTCTGGCATTCATGACTGCTCCTCAGTGGCAGGGGAACCTCACCGCGCTGCATTTCACCCTCCCTGGCAGGGGGAGGACAAGGTGTTGGCCATCTCCCTTGCTAGGGGAGCTAGTCATGCAGCCAATCTGTCATGAAACCAGTCCCTTTCACCATGTGCCTCTGAGTCACGTTTGTTACAGCATTTATTCCTGGCTGCACAACAAGGCAGTGGCCCAGCTCGGTACCCAAGAGGACACCAATTAAAGCCACACTTTGTCCCAGTACCTGGAAATGCTTTATGTGCTGAGTGGAGTGATTGTCATGGTGAGGAGCATCCCTCTTACCAGCGCAGGGGAGGGGTGGATGGGCTGTGACCTACTTTAATCGCGTACCCAGCTGCTATCACAAGGATGTCTGCCATCAGGGGGAGGGCTGGAAGGTGCCCCCCACTTTTGGAAAATGAGAACTGGGGAAATGGGGCTTCCCATGACATCTCCCCACACTTGCCAGCATGAAGCATGATGCCAGAGGCACCCGTTCTCCACCCTAGAGGGAAAAACCCAAATCCATCACCTTCATTCTGGCCAAACTGTCAGATTTGGCCAATTCCTGGCAGGGTAGGAGTGGCTGTGGTGGCTGCAGTTGGGCAGAAAAACTGCCACAGGGTTGTGCATGGGGAAGCCAAGGCAGCGGGCACTGTTCTGCCCACCCTTCCCAAACCAGAGAGGTGTCTGCTCAGACACTCACCCATCGCTACGTGCACGTCACCACTTCATGAGAATCACAGGCTGGTTTGGGTTGGAAGGAACCTTTGAAGACCATCTAGTCCAACCCCCCCCTACAATAAGCAGAGACATCTTCAACTAGACCAGGTTGCTCAGAGCCCCGTCCAACCTGGCCTTGAACATTTCCAGGGATGGGCCATCTACCACCTTTCTGGGCAACCTGGGCCAGTGTTTTACCACCCTCATCATCAAAAATTTCTTCCTTGTATCTAGTCTGAGTCTATCCTCTTTTAGTTTACCACATAATAAACTACACGAACTGAAAAAACTCAAACTGGTACTGAAGCTTGTGGACAGAGATGTCACACTGGTGGGCTTGCAGGAAGGAAGTAGGAGCGAGGGAAATTGGCTGCAGGTCCTCACGCTGGGACATGGAGAGGATGTGCAGCCAGGTTTGCACAAACAGGCGCTGATTTATTCAACCAGAGAACGGCAATTGCAACACCAGAAAACTTATCAAACCCACAGCCCAAAATACATCCCCCAAAGGCTGCCTGGAGCACAAAGCAAACCTGGAAATACTGTAGGAATAGAGAAGCTGAGCTTTTTAGCTCTCTAGGCCTCTCTTGGTGGCCCACAGCCAGTGTATTTTATCATCCCTCTCCCACAAATGAAAGCAAAGAACTCATCCAGCAAACTGGGTCACTGCTGGGAGAAACCAGCAGTGCTCCTTTTGCTTGATCCCAAATATCAGCCTGGAAACTGGGGCTGGCAAATGCAACTGGGGCAGAATTGGGCCAGGGGCCGGCAAGCAGCGGCCAGGGTTTCGGAGGCAGCAGCCACCGCTGCAAGGTGCCGCACTCACCACGCAGGATGTCGGTCTGCCCCCACGTCTGAGGTTTTGTTCCTCTCAGCAAAAGGAAGCAATGGGGGTAAAACCATCCGGTGGTGCCCAGCAGCACATATTGCAACAAAAGATCTTGTTCTTTTGGAAAAAAAAAAAAAAAAAAAAAAAAAAAAAAGCAACCCCAACAAAACTAAAATCGTCCTGCTGCTACCACAGGCAATTGTTAGCCTGGTCATCATCTTCACAGCTTCTTTTGCCAATAATGACTTTGCTTTTCTGACAGCACCAGTGTGCATGTTATTTAGGTCAGTTGGGGGCTGTGGCAGCTTTTCCCTGCCGCCTCGCATCTCAGCTACTCGGTTTCCTTGTCCGGATGCCCGGCAGCCACGCCGCCAGGGGCTTTTCCCAGACAGCTATCAGAGATTGCTGGCAGCGTAGCTCGGAGGGGACATCGGCTGCTTCAGGCCACGCTCAATTCCCATCATTGAACTTGGTCACTTCTGCACGAAAGGCCACGTGATTCTCAGATCGATACCATTTACACCATGCCCCTTCATGGTACTAGCTCACAAAATTAAACAGCATTGAGCGTAAAGGCGAGAGGCACTACCAGGGCAATGACAAACAACCTCTTCCCTGTGCAAAATCCCTTCCCAGGGTGGATTAATTTTCTTGGGAGCATCAGCTCCAAATGAGAAGCCGGTCCACGCAAGAGGCAACACCCAGTGGGTAGCATCCACGGAGGACCTCATGTCAGCTGGCAGCACGGTACCCACCGAGCACACTGCCCTCGCTCAGCCTCTGCGGGGTTCATTCCCACCAGAGGCATCACAGCTCTGGGCACCCCTCATCTGCAACCCCCTCCCCATTCAGAGTGTGCACGTGGGTGTTGCCTTTACAGCTCAGGCAAACCGCCTCCCAAGACCTTTAAGGTGGGTAGTTCATAAACTCCCTGCATCCAAACCCACCTGCGCACGCCTGCCTCGAGACAGGGAGTTTGCCAGGGTGTGCAAAAAGGAGCACAGGAGGGTTCGGAGGCAGCGCCAGCGGTTAATTGTAGAGCTGATGCAGGGAAAGGTATCATCAATGTGGTAAGGCAGGACAGAGCAACACTGGATGTAAGTCTGGAGGACAGCAAAGGTTGTCACGTCCCATGTCACACAGATAACAGTCATAAACCACCGGGGTAACGCATGCAGTGCAGATAGTTCAAAAGTTCATGAATTGTTTTCACAGATAAGAGCCTCGGTTCCCTGCTTCTTGCAGAAAGAATACGGTTGTAATGAAAATAATCATTGCACCAAAGCAATTAAGGATGCTTGTCTTGTGCAGTTGACTAAGCAGGTCCCCCCAGCTCACAGGTCATTCTGGATTGCTTCTCAGAAACAAGCCAAGGCTGATAATGAAGCTCAGAGCTGGGAAGCACTTAATTGCTTAATTGAGGACAGGGCATTCCTCCTCTTACACCCAAGGTATCCCTTCAGAGCAAAGCTTACCCGAGAGCATCACGGTGCTGAGCTGGGGACAGGACCACAGCACAGATCCCTGCGTTGGGCAAAGCAGCTGCACAGCCCAGCTCCTGAGTGCTTTCAGCTGCAACGTCAACCCACCCACAAAGTTTCTGTCTGCTCTGCCCTCCCCTCCTCTGCCGCCAGCTTGGAGCCTTTCAAAAATTCAGTTGCAAAAACAAAGCAGGTTTTTAAAAACAAGAGAGACATCCCGTAGGCTCCTCAATCGCTCCCTGGCAGCCCCCACCCACATAAAACATGCCCAGAGCATGCAGAGAAGAGTTTTAAAGGCTGGATTACAGTACTGGGGGTGGAGGGACCCCCAGGGGCTGCCTTTTCACTCGCTATCAGCAGCCAGCACACCCTGCACAAGCAACCCTGACCGCTGCGCGCAGCCGAAGCGCGAGGCACAGCTTGGGCTTTGCCGGCTGGATTGCCTCCGCGGGGCCAAGGAGCGGAAAACCTGCTTTCATCAGTGTGCTCAAATACAAGTGACTCGGAAAATAAAATAAAGGGAAAGGCGAAATAGCAAGAGCGGGTGAGACACGTCCCTCCCAGCATCACGGGCCAGTGAGATGACCGTGCCCACGTTGTATGACCCGTGAAACCCCACTGGCCAGCCAAACCCTGGTTTGGATCTGGCTGATACCTCCATGCAAAGGCAAGATGAATCCTTCCCAAGCAGCACAACCTCTCCAGGCTTGAGCAATAAGCCTTGGGCAGCCCTAGAGGGCTCACAGAGCTGGGAATGGAGGCAGTGAGTCTCCCAGGTCTGTTTCAAGGCAACTCCAGCAGTTGCTGCTCTCCTGACCACGCTGAAACCATCCCATCACTCCCACAGTTAAGGGCTTGCCTTGCTTGAACAGCCTTCAAAGCCTGCTAGACATCACTCAGGCCAAATTCAGCGCCAAGGAAAGGCAAGGGAATAACACAACCATGTTGAAAACACCTGGGCAAAATAAACCTCACACTACAAGCACCTGAAAGAGCCTTGGCCCATCCTGTGGGCTGGCAAGTGCAGTTGGCTGGTGTCTCATCTGTGTTCTGCTGAGGGGGAGCTGCCTCCTCTTCCAAAACCAAAGCCCAAGTGGGGCTTTTCCAGTCCCCTGAGTTGACCTTGCTGTCTCCTTCAGGCCCTGACTCATGGGCTGAGCAGGCAGAGCTGCCCCCAACGAGCCCCACAGCACTCACAAACTCATGACACAGAGCAGAGCCAGGACAGCCAGTGATGCCAGCCCTGGCTGGGCACCGAGGGGTCTGCAGGGGGAATGTGTGATGTAGTGCTGGGACAGATGAGGCCTCTTCGGCTCTCCCAGCGGTTCCCCATCAGTGCCTTGCTGACCCAGCAGCCAGCAGGACCACTGGGAACAAAGACTGTCCTTCCATCAGCTGTGTTTTTAATTAAAAGGCAGGCACAAGGCTTTGCATTGCATCCCAGACAAGTGACTATGTCATCTTTGCAAGAGACTGCCGAGACATTCCCCAGTGAAATCCAAGCCCACTGTGTCGCTGAGACATCAGCGGAGCACACACATGCCCTCCACATCGCCTGCATTCAATTATGGCCCCGTTCACTGCAAGCTTTCTTACAGTTTCTGAAATAAGGAGTAGCTGGGACAGACACGGAATGGCAAGGACAGGTCTCAGTGTCACTTCCAGGAAGGCAGAGCTCTTAAATACATGTGCAAATTCCAACCCGAGTTCTCTGTGTCTGGGAAATTACCCAAAGTACTAAACAACCCATTAGCTCTGACCCTGGCATAATTGAATCTGGGAATTTAGTAAGAGAGTCTGTCTCTCCTAACAGCATTGAAGATAAAGCCTACCAGATCGCAGATAAATTGCTGGCATTGAGGAAATCTTCTGCAGTAAACCTCTCCGCTGCACTCAGAACGTCAAAGGACGTATTCCCATGGTGTATGGTGCATCAGTCATACAATACTATTAGCTGGCACAGGTAGTATTTAAAGAGATTGCAGATAAGAGTTTAAAGAGACTGCTTGCTAAGTGCACAGATAATCCTGCTCTTCTACACAGGAAACTGTGGCTTCTTAAAAGCCGGTTTAATTTTATGATTTTTTAGAAGAAAATTAAAGAATTCTGCTGTTATGTATGATCCACTCTGTGCAAACAGTCCTTTTGTCACCTGAGCTGCTCCCAGGACAGGGAAAACCACCCCCAGAGAGCGGAGCAAGGAAACCCGTGACACTCAATGGCCATTGACACCGATGGTTTTGGCCCCATTGCTGCACCCCTCATCTTCATTACAAAACCTGGAATAAATCTGTTGCTGACTGAAGGTATCCAACCATATAAAACTAATACACTGGGGCTGGATCCAGCACTGCAAAGCAAATATCCCTCATCCCCCCCCAATCCCTGTCGGGGCATTTCTTTGCATCGATCCGTAGCAGTAGGGTTTGCTCCTTACCAATGGCTCCGCACACAGTTAAGCATCAGGATAACTGCGCCCAGGCAGTAGCAGGCAGCACGTGGAGAGCCGAAGACTCGGCTGAGCGCTCGCGTTTTGTGCTCCCATCTGGCTACCTGAAGAGACAACAGAAAAACAAAAGCGGGTGGTTGGAGGTGCCTGGGTACGTGCTGCCCCAGGGGGTGTGAATCCCCCAGCCTTGGCCCCACGCGGGGACACACCGTCTGTGGGGATTCGTGTGAGAAGCAAGCGGAGGCCGCTGATGGGATACGGCTTAAACCAAGCCTGGGGATGAAAGCAAAGCTCCTTCTCCTACCCATGCCAGCCCCTGCTAGTGCTTGCAGTGCATATACCCTTGCATACCAGGCCAGCCAGCAGCACCGAAGCACGCGCTCACAGAAATAAAAATAAAATTCCTACACACGTTAGTCTTGGGGAATACGTGGCTTGAACAACATGTGATCAACAAAGCCAAGAGCATTGCTAAGGCTGTCCCTACGCCACCAAAGCCAACATGCCCCTACCACAGAACCTAGTGTCGTTCTCCTAGAAAGAAAACAGATCTTTGTGTAGGACGGACCACAGGGACTCTGCCATCTCCTACACCCAGCCTTAAGAATCATACCTAGTAGGAACAACCCTTCCCTGGGCACATCCAGAAAAGTTTGCAAACGTTCTCCCAAGCTCCCCTCAAACGAGATCTGCTAACTTTGCTCAGAGAGCTGCTTCCACTTGTACAGGCTGAACCAGCTGGCCTTCGTTAGCACTCAGCAGTTGTAGCCATTAAGGGCTCATCTGCACTCACCGCCCGTCTCGGTACAATCCATACAGCGTGTCAGTGACAGCCCTGGACTCACGTGTACGCAGGCAGCATCTCCAGGGAGGCATTAGCATCCTTTACAGCACATTTTTTTCTCTGGCTGCAATTGTAAACTCCATGTTCTGAAGAAGCTGATGGGCCCCTGCCCAAAACCTCCCAGCTGAGGTGCCCTCTCACCCTGGGAGGCTGCTGCACGCAGGTGCCTGGAGCCGCTCCCAAAATCTGCAGGGCTGGATCCACCCAAGTCACCAAACCCAGGACTCTCACTCCCATGCTGATGAAAATCCTTACAGCTATTCAGTTTTCTACCTTTCCTGCATCCCTCAAAAAACTGTCACTGTATTTACTGCCTCTTTTAGGCTCCGTTCTCAGGTGCCAAGCCTGGGGTTTGGATCAGACCCTAAATTCAAGCCAAGCGGAGCACACCTGGGCAATGAAGCAGGAGGTGGGAGTCAGCAGAACATCTCAACACCAATTTGCTTCTCAGACACGGCTGGCACTTCATTAGCTTCAAATGCACTTCACTCCCTCGCATGGAGCCTGGGCAGCTTTTGGGGAGGCACCTGCAACTCAGCTATTCATCTAGTCTGAATGTATTTGGTAATTTATTGGCTCTATCTGAGCAGAGAAAGGCAGCTTTGCCAGTCCTGCTTTCTTCCCAGGCTGATGCAGAAGCACAAAGTGCTGCTGGTGGAGGGGGACTGCTGGCTTCAGGAGGGGAGAATGATGAGAACCTCTGATAAGCAGGGCCCTGATTTCACATGCTGAGAGCTGATTCAATTAGTTATGCAATGATTGCTCTGAAATTACAAATCCACTCATGACAGAGAGAGCTGCTTCACTGCCTTTTTCTGGCTGGTATAAATAGTTTGTATTCTAAATTGAATTTAAAACACCGTGCGTCACGCTGCTGCTAAAATGGGAGCTGCTGTTTGAGTGCTGAGAGAGTAGAAAAAGAAATATAGGGTGAGTTACCACCTTTGGAAAGTAAAAAGAAGTGACCATACAGGTGACTGAGACACAGATGGAAAAATGGAGCCACGTGTCAGTTTTTCTGTACCAACTTCCTAATTCCCTGGAAATTATTCGAGCGGCATTTGCATGGATGGCAGCTCCTGGCTCGCTTTGAGAGCTTCGCAAAGCACCTCAGCTGGTGGCAGAGCTGAAGCTGAAAGGGAAGGCAGCAGTACTGGGAACAGAAGGGAGAGCCCAGGAGCTGCCGAGGCGGCCCCGTCATCACCCTCACCTTTTGAAAAGCACATCTGGGTGGTGCTGGAGCCCTTCGGGGCAGCGGCTGGCTCGGCCGCGGCGGGATCGCTCCCGGCACAGCCCAGCTCGCGCTGCATCACGTCGCTGCCAACTCCCTGGCTGGGACCGAGACACCAACTTTTATTTAGCTGTCACAGCCCTTCAGATGGGACCCCGGGCTCCTTTCTGAGCCCGCGTGGGAGTCATGCCGAGGAAAGCAGAGCTGGAGCCTGCGTGGGGCTGGAAGCAGCGGCGCTCGCCAGGCCCCACGGCGATATTTCAGCAACAATTAATTTGTTCCGGTTCTGGTTCTATTCCGTGAACAACCAATTCGTTTTGGCTCGGTTCTAATTTTAGTAATTTCTAGCTAATATTAGCTCTTGTTCAAGCCATGGCTACGCAGCTGGCTTAACAGTTTTCTAAAACCATGAGCCGACATGTTATTATTTACTGCACAACGGATGCAAAATGATTTTAGCATTCTCCATGGCTGTGTGCGGGATGCAGCAGGGCTGGGACTGGCAGCATCCTGGGGAGGGCTGTGGCTATTCCCAGTGTGCTGTTTGCCCTCCCAGTAGAGGCCAGCATCGGGGAGCGGTGGGGAAAGCCCCATGCCCCAGCTGCGTGTCCCAGTGAGGGAGGGAAGGGAGCATTTTTATTTTATTTCCAACCTCCAAGTTTGGAAATGGAGTCAATACAAAGTTTTCCTGACTTACCCAAGGGTCAAAGCAATAGAAAAATTCAAGGCTCCTTTTCCAAAGCTCCCAGCCCTCTGCTTTCACTTTAGGATACTTGCTGAGGGCTGTAAGTAATTTTTTTAATGTTTCCCCCAATGCTCGTTATTGAAATAAATCAACGAGCGGATGTGACTGCAAAGCTGGGGAGTGCTCTTGGGTCCCATGTTCTGCCTTTGGCAGGCTGTTTCGGTGCTCGCCAGGGGCAGGAGCAGCCAGCTGACGTTCCCAAGGAATCGTCTCCTTCTCGACGTAAATTTGGGTCTGATTCCTACGTAACCAAACCAAGCCATCTCCCCAACCACCCGGGCAAGTGCGTAAACAAAAATGAAAGCACCAGCACACACTCCCCAGTGGCTGTCCTGATGCAAAATGGAAATGCTCTGAGTTTTCTTCCCTTTTTTCAGGCAGGCAAACCTTTTTAGGCCACCTCAAGAAAGGCCACAAATAACCATTCAAAAAGCAATTTCATCTCATGAATCTGTCTCTGCAGCTGATCAACTGGAAATGCTCTTTACAGCTCTGTGTGCATGGCAGACCATTGCCTCTCATTAATATTTAGTATTTGTTTCAAGGAAATTGATTATTTTTGTCTGCCATCCAGGGAAACTGGCTTTTGAACACGCTACATTTTAATTTGCTCAACCCCAGCTCTGAAATAGAGACTTTGTGCTGTTTTGCATGACTTCATTTCTATACCTGGCTCGCCCCAAAGGTGGGGAACGAAACCAGATGTCCCAAAGGCTCGGGTCTAAGGGATGTTTTGCATCGCGATGATAATCAGCCAGTCAATGTCCTCACATTGCCCCATCCCCACAATATCCAAAGAAGACCATGCAGGCTCTAGTGAATTTAGCCTTGCAGCATGCCTGGGAAGCTGAGATGGATTAGCAGCTCCCTTCAACCCAAGGGAAACTGAGGCACCGGAGGGCTGAAGCGAGTGGTTGCTTCCCAGCTCTCTGAGGAACAGAGCGGAGGGGCTGTGCCTGCATCCCAGGAAATCCTGGACCCATCGCCCACCTGAGGAGATGCTCTGCCTGCTTCTGGGGATGCTCTTGCCCTGGCCAAACTGTTGGCATAAAAATGTTCAGTGCCCAAGTCTGGGCTGGAGAAAAGATGACAGTGAATAGGATATGCTACCTCCACCATACCTGTCTCACAGCATTTGCCAGCGTGAAGGATTTTGCCCTGTCACATGGGGTGTAGGAAGCAGCCTGCCAAGGGACCCAAAAGTCAGAAAGTCCATGAAAAGCCCAGAGGATCAGTCAGCTCCCCGGGGCACGTCTGTGCCCTGGTCCCAAGGAGAGGCACGTGTGTAGAGTGAGGCCTGGATGCACGGATGATCCAGCCCTAACTCAAAAAAGCCCTTCGGACATAAGCAGCCTGAGCTAATTTTTAAACTTTCTCCTTCAGTCTGGCCTCTCCTAGACAAGCTGTGGGGGTACATCCTCCTGCGGGCACTGGGGCAGGAGAAACCCAACTCTGGACTTAGGTGATTCCATGTGAGCATCTCCCATCAGGGTAGATGTGCCCTGGCTGGCTTGTAACCTGATGAAAGGACAGGAAAACTGATATTACCTTTATTTCACCTATGGGGACCAGAGGCACCAACCTGTTCCCCTGAGATGAAAAATCCATTTTTCCTTTCTGATTCCCCAAAATCGCTCATTAAAGCGTAACGACGTTCTCCGCTCTGTCATTGCCTGCGTGCTGGAAAATGACCCTGCTTGCAGCTATTACGTTTATCTAAAAGACAGAGAGGAAAAAGATACACCGGAGCACCCAAACTCTGACTGTGGTGCTCCCAGGAGCGAGCAGGGAAGCAGAGCCAAGGCAGAGCACAGCAGCAGAGCAGGCTGCCATGTAAACGCACGTCCGCCGCCCACCTGCGAGTGCTGGGGCTGGCTGACCTTTGCCGAATGCCAGAGGAGCCAGCTTTTCTGGCTGTCCCAAGTGACCGTGGAGGAAATGAGTGTGGCCTGACCTTATCCATCCTAACGAACCGTGCTCGAGCCCCTCTACAGTCGGCAGCGCTTAGTGCAGACGATTTATTGCCCATATGCCGAGAGGGCAGATCCAATTGAACACCGTGGTCAGGCTGAAAGCTCCAGCCTGGGCTCCTGCGGCCACTCAAGGGAAATGTCCAAGTGCTCGTGCTGCTCTTAAGTCAGAAAAATTCTGTTTTCCTAGGAGACTGCAAATCTCGGGAGAGACAGGAAGGGAGACTGCAGGGCTGGTCCTGGGGAGGATCATGCACAGCAGCCCCGAGGGTGTGCAGGGACAGTTCCTGCATCTCGGCGGCACAACGCGGTCA